CTTAAAAATTCGACGACCTCCGCCGGGTATTTGAACCCGCGTACCACGAGTCATGAGGTGGGAACGTTACCTCTAGACTACGGAGGCCGCTTTCATGGATCTGAAATCGTGTTTTGTTTTTATGCCGTCTGTGTGCAACTTCGGCCATCAAGATTGATTATGATGGCCGACCACCAAACATCAAACTCCAGCCCCAGCAAGTACATTCAAGACAGCCACAGCCAACAAACCAAACAAAACCGCAAGGCAAACACGTGCAGCTCAAGGACACCTAAATAAAACAGCTGGTTAACCCACGGAACCAGAAGTAATCCGAGGCGACCACATAAGAGAAACAAAACAGCTTTACAGTGGGCAGCAGATTCCATAATCACAACAAATTGCACACCTGAAGATGGCCGGTTAGGCCGAAACATGGAGTGACAAGAAAGAAAAACGATGAGTGGATAGTAACCGATGTTGCGCGTAGACGGCAATAAAAGCAGAACGCAAAGTCAGATCTGTCCTGTCCTGTTCTGTCCAGTGAAGCAAGAAATGAAGACTGTCGGACACTTAAGCGAACCAATGACCAGGCCAAAATGCGTGGAGCTTTACCTCCTTAGATGTAATCAAGAATTAACCCTGTTTGCTACTTGTTTGTTCCGCCTACTAGCGTAATGGTTTAGGCACTATGCTACAAGCCGGAAGGTAGCGGGTTCAAGTTCCGATGAGGTCATTGGATTTTTTCAATTGACCTAATCCTTCCAGCCGCACTATGGCCCTGGGGTTCACCCAATCATTAAAAGAAATGTGTACCAGGAATTAATTAAATAATTTTCCTGGGGAGTAAAGCGCGGCCGGCGCGTAAGGCTGACAACCTTACCGCCATCTGTGAGCCGATTGTCTATAAAATGTGGGACTCTGAACGTCTCACAACCCTATGGGCCTTCACGGCCTGTTAGAGGGATACCTTTACTTTTACTCTTCTACCCTGTAAATTATATCAGTATGCTCCGAAACGCCGTTAAATTTATTCTACATTACTCTATTGTATGTCACATACTAGAAGATACTCTTCTCCATATTTCTTCCGAAAAGCCTCTGATCTTAATATAAGTTTCATTACTTGAAGATGTCTTCTAGCTGGTTTTCATTTTATGTACTATTTATCATTCTAAACAGTTTTTGGTGATGTAATATTTTATTGCATTTCAAGTTTTTAATGAAGTGTACTATCTTCTATTATGTGACGCCGTGTAGTTGGGTACACTTGCTTCTTGCTATCTATTTACTTGCATTACTCTTGGACCACGAAGTATGAGGCAGGAGCTGTCTAGGCATTTTATTGTTTGCATCTGCAACTGATGTCACATTCGATTACAGGCCTACTGAAGATAAGAATGGGAATATTGACAGCTGAGGGTCTGTCACGCGACAGGTTTTCCGAATTATTTGTGAGAGGAGCCATATCGGCTGAAACAAACAGCCGTGGGCAGTTTCCACTACCAGAAACAATCCATAGGGTGGTGAAAAACCTACCCTCGCGTATTGAACAAAGGGAGAGGGTGCCAGAGTGAAGGATGAATTGTAAGGGTGGGGTTTCGATAAAAGTAGGGGTGGCGAAGGAGGCCGGGGAGATGTGATTTTGATGGAAAGAGAAAAATCGGGTTTCTTTTTTTTTTTTCCTGATTTGTCATCGCCAGCCAATCAAAAGCAAGAGCTGGAAACCGTAATACTGCCTCCCATCATAGCAACCCTGTCAATGATCCTGCCACAATCAGCGCCATTTTATTGTAATATTAAAACTTGTACACAAATTTAGGAATTCAGGTTTATAAGAGCAAATAATTCTCAGGGAAGACACTCATAAGAATTTCTGTCACCATAACAGAACAAGAAATGGTATTTCTCTCACTTAATTAATTCTTCTGCATGTCAATAGATTGGCAAGATACTTTGGACGATAGAGGATCAATATCTTATGACGGCTACCCCCACCCCACACACTCTCAGAACACCGCTGGAATACTCAATTGTGAGTTTTTCTACCGATGAACATGAATTTGCAGCTGACCACTCACCTCAATCTATACTTGGTCCATGATATCTATGTAGCGAAAACACACCTCGATCAGATAGTGACAGAATATTGGCGTCCTGTCAGCTGCCAACGGTACAAGTTCCTTCCACCGAAATTAACTCCATTTCTTGCAACATGCGGTGCAGTGACGCAGTCTGAGACTACCAGTGCAAATGGCTCAATTGCTGATACGGCTATATTTCACAATATAATAATAAAAGCCGATCACAATAGTCGGTCGGTCTAAGGCACGAACCGTTTTCGCCCGCTTGAACACTGGGGTCATGGGTTAAAATCCCACTCGAGGCATTGATGTCTGTGTATTCTGTATTTGTGTTGTTCTGTGTGTAGGTATAGCAAGTGTCACGTAACTTCGAACAAGGCCAAGAGTAACCTTGAATGAGAAGAAGAAAAATTTCAGACAAGGGGGTTGAGGGTGTGAGAAGTGACAGACGGCCAGTGGAAGAACGAGTGTTAAGAAACTCCTCCCACCACAAGCTATGCGCGGGATTTGACTAGGAATGCGGGGCCTTGTTCGAAGTTACGTGACACTGTCTATAGCGGTCTTGTGACGGGGTGATTCCCCGTCCACGGAGTCCTAGCGACTGTGTAGATGATTAGGAAACTGAAAAAAGCGGCCAAGGTCCAAACGGCTGTGGAGCCATAGAGAGAGATCAAGAGAGTGAATGTGGCAATATAAGGCGCTTCTGTTCCCAGACAGCACGAAATATAAGAGTATAGAGCACAGAGACAGAGTTCCATGCATTCTAGGCCTCCGCACTAGATAGAGGTGAGTTCCTAGGTTCGCGCGCCGTCCGCTTTAAGGGACAGGAAACTGAGTGTATCTCAGAACCGACACGCCGTAGTTACGAAGACAAAATCGCTACCAGTAACTTTTGACGGACATGACAGAGCAGGTCGCAGTTTCGACACCAACGATATCACTGCCGGCTGTGTTCACAGATTATTTTGAAGAGTGCCTCGACTGTCTCTTCTAAGAAATTTACGTCGAAAACTCTCTCCTTCTGCGGAGCTAACAATAGGTTCCTTTCCTCCTTGGTAGCCACTCAGCAAGAAGCCCAGTTGTCAAATTAGTTTGAAGGAAGATTTGAGATTTTCAAGGCGGTAACTATGAAGATTGCCGTCTTCTGGAATGCGGCGCCGTGTGGATCTTGTGTGAGCCGACGTTTTTGGAGGAACGTGTCGCCTCCATCTACAGGATATAAAAATCCCCGAGCGAGGAACCACCTTCAGCTGGTGGCTGCAGACTGAGACAGATTTAAAATAATTATCAAAAAAGTGAAGCTATCCCTGTAACAGGCCGTGGAGGCATATAGGGTTATGAGAAGTCAAGGTTCCCACATTTTCTAGAAAATCGGCTCTCGATGACGGTGAGGTCGTCGGTCTTAGTGCCAGCCGCCCTTTACACTCAGGAAGATTTCTGGTACTCATAAAAGTCTGAGATAACCCCAGGGCCATATTTCGGTTGGAAGGATTTAGGTGAATTGAAAAATACAGTGAACTCATCGGGAATGGAACCCGTGACCTTCCGACTTGTAGCATACTGCCTCATCAAATTATGCTAAAGCGTGTCCCCAAAATAATGATCATGCAGGCCTAATTATAAATAAATTATAAAATAATTTTGCATTGTTATTGTAATATATTTTGTACGCGGTAGCGTAGTTGGTTGAGGCAATATGCTACAAGCCGGAAGGTCGCAGGTTCAAGTCCCGATGAGGTCATTGGATTTTTTCAACTTACCTAATCCTTCCAGCCGCACTATGGCCCTGGGATCGACAGAAATGAGTACCAGGAATTAATTAAATAATTTTCCTGGGGAGTAAAGCGCGGCCGGCGCGTAAGGCTGACAACCTTACAGTCATCTTTGAGCTGATTGTCTAGATAATGTGGGACCCTCAACGTCTCACAACCCTATAGGCCTTCACGGCCTGGTACTGGGATAGCTTTACTTACTTTTATTGTAACACATACGGGTGGGATAGCTCAGTCGTTATAGCGACGGGATACGGGCCGGCCGGCAGGGTTTCGGTTCCCGGTAGGGGCAAGGGCAAATATTTTCCTATATTCCGCAGCCTTCAGACCGGCTCTGGGGCCCACACAGCCTTTTACACAATGGCTGCTGGGTGTTATTCCCCCAGGGGTGAAGCTGACCACTCACCTCCATCTAGTGCCCAGGTCAAGAATAGTGCAGTTATACCTCCACTTGCAGACACGTCTTAATTGCGTGATGCTTAATTAATTAAGCATATAGACAACTTTTTTTATTGCTAGTAGGGTGGGACTAAGTCCCTTGTACTGCGGCCACTTCTGGCCTATTGTACCAGCTCCAGACGATAGGTGAAGGTGATTTTGGAGCAAATGGTAGAATGAAGATTGGCAAGGGAAACTGAAGTACTCGGAGAAAACCTGCCCCAGCGCCACTTTGTCCACCACAAATCCCACTTGACCAGACCCGGGATCGAACCCGGGCCGCCGCGGTGGGAAGGCAGTGACTAACCGCTTCAGCTATGGCGCGGCCACAGAGACAAATTTACCCTTATCTTTACTTTAATACATATGGTTGGAATCCAAATTAAATGCTGGATTTGGTACTCAGTAAGCTGCCACTTTCTTACCAGGGGAAGAATTATGCTTATGACTGCGTAGCCCACTAACACTGTTACCACACTAACCACAATCCAACAGCCGGATACTGGGGGGTAGTTGCCTTGCTTTCGCAGCCTAAAATATTTCGAGGGTTTTGTAAATACAGGCGACCGTCAATTGTTGCTACAGGTCAATGACTTTAACAGCTGCAGTCACGTGCGTGTGTGTGTGTGTTTTTGTACGTGCCGGCAATTCGAGTGTGCTTATCAAGTTTTTTGAGTACAAATTCACAGCACGCCCAGAGGGTTTATTTACGACCCACCCTACTCACCTTATATTTACCGCGTGCGGGAGTTCCAGCAAATCTCATTCTGCAACGATGCACCTTTCTATTCGGATTTTGTGTTCCCTAAAACATAAAAATTAATATATACAAAACTATAATTTTGCTTACAGTTTTGTATGAGTGTGAAATTTGGTCTTTGATATTAACAGTAGAAGAGAGACTGGGCGTATTTGAGAAACGGTGCTGACGAGAATATTTGAACTAAGAGGGATGAAATAACAGGAAGTAGGAGAAAGTTACAAAATGAGGAGCTTCACATCCTGCGTTCTGCGCCAAAAATAATTGGAATGGCCAAGTGACGAAGGATGAGATAAGCAGGGCATGAAGCACGCATAATGAACCGGGGAAGGAGAAAAAGAAGAATGCGTATAGGATTTTGGTGGGAAATCCATAAGGGAAGAGACCACTAAGAAGACTTAGATGTAGATGGGAGGATAATATTGAAATAGATGTTATAGGAATGGGATGGGGTGGTATGGACTGGATTTATATGGGTCAGGACATGGACCTGCGGAAATCCCTTGTGAACACCGTAATAAAATTTCGGATTCCATATAATTTTAGGTATTTATTGAGCACTAAGGGACTGGCGGCTTTTCAAGAAGAACTCAACTCTATGGAGTTTGTTTAGCTGGTTTGAAGATACTGGCACAAAAAAGTTGCCATAAAATCCTACAGGGAACATGGAAGTAAAGTTTGTTGAATACTAGACACTCTGGTTACTGCAAGTCTGGAAGATATCGCCATTATAGAGCGGGCAGATTAAAGCCGTGAGGAGGTTTGGACGTGGTGACAGAGGATACGCTATCGTGGTCTGATCTGAGGTACTGGCCCGGAACTTGTCGGGAAGAAATGAGGACCAGAAATCGGTTAGAATATTCGGTCTTCGTGTCGAGATATGAACACGGGATCTCCCCACTACCAAGCTGGAGTACTACAAACCGACTGCAACGTCCAGTAACAATGGAAAGGAGAACCTTCGAAACGGAAACTGGTAACGCTGTTATTCATGTCACGATATACAAAATGTTAAGGACAACTGGCGTCTTAAATATATGAGATTCATATTATAGTTACGTTGCCTGTAAAGGTAAGGACCGCTTCTGTGGTCTAGTGGTCAGAGTTCCTGGCTACAGATCCAGAGGTCCTGGGTTCGATCCCCGGCGCTACCACATTTTCTGAGTAGTGGGTCTGGAACGGGGTACACTCAACCTCGTGAGGATCATTTAGGAGCTATTTCAAGGAAATAGCGGCTCCGGCATAGAAAACCCAAATTAACGGCCATGGGGGATTCGTTGCGCTGACCACGTGACAGCCTCTATCCGCTAAAGTTGGCACTAATTTCGCAGACAAGCGGCGGTCGCTCGGTCGGTATAGTTCGCTTGCGGACTCAAGCCACGGAGTTTAGTTTTTTTTAGCTACTTTGTCTGTAGAGTAACATGGCGAAAACTGGAACGCGCAACGTAGTTTCGACTTCGCAAATGACGTAACATTACAACAAAATACGTAAAATAGTAAAACGCTGAAAACCTCTCAGCGCTACCATAGGAAGCCACTTTATGTTCCAAAACATCATACGTCAAGCTACAAAACTGAGGACAGAAGCCAGGTTTAACAGGGCTTCTTATGGCCATATTTTCTTCAGTTTAAGCAAAATGGAATGGTAATACATGGAAATTAAATATAGGCGTAAATATATGTATAGTACCTTCATTAACCTCTTTCGGAAGCCCAATCACTGCTTCGCAGAAGTGTACGGCAGACTGGAGGTTAATCTCTGTGGTTTCCCACATCTTCGTAACTTGGCCTTCTTTATCTTTGGAGGAAGCTTACTGTCTGCACCGTAAATGTGAGTGACAGTAACTTGGGCGGTTCAAATGCGCCTCAGCATGCAACAGTCTTGGAATGCTCACTCGCAGATGAAAACCAAATTACAAGGAGAAAATCGTGCTTAATGACAAATTTATCCGCTCCTAATTCAATATGAGCTACCTTTGGACTAAACCCAAGGCCTCAGAGCAACAGAGCGGCATCTAACAGCCTGCTAGGTCGCACAGCCTACTGTATCATAACATGTATCGAAATATTATGCCGTTTCAGTACGCCTCTAATATTGTGATATGCATATAATGCTTATATTATTACATACCGTAACAGGTCTATTAAGAAAGAACAGAGCCAAATGGTCTTGAAAAGAAGCCCAGATCTCTGCAACACTTCAACTGCTTCTGCTGAACCAACAGCTCTGTCCCTGAAGTACTTTGCTGCCGCATGAGTCAATGTCGCCGGTCACGGTAGCCGAGCGGTCTAAGGCATGCACTGTCTTCGCTCGCTCGGAACCCGGGATCGTGGGTTCCAATCAAACACAATGTATCGATGTTTGATAAGTGTATGTGTTTATTCTTTGTTTGTGTTGTCCTGCGTTTATGTAGAGGCCTTGGGACGGGCTGATCACTCGTTCAAGGAGTCCTACCGTCTGTAAAAAGGTATAAATGGGGCGGGGTGGGGGGGTGGAGTGGAAACATCGCCACCATAAAGGTATATGTGGAACGGATTGAGTAATTAATTCAATGAGTTGAACTTCTTAAGACACGATATGTCACTCACACTGAAACCAAGTTATCGATTGGCCGCATCATAGCTCAAGCGGTTAGTCGCTGGCTTTCCACCGCGGAGGCCAGGGTTCGATCCCGGATCTGGTCAAGTGGGATTTGTGGTGAAAAAAGTGGGGCGGGGGCAGGTTTTCTTCGAGTACTTCGGTTTCCCCTGCCAATCTTCATTCCACCAAATGCTCCACAATTACCCTCACCTGTCTTCTGGGGCTGGGCCACAGCAGTACAAGGGACTTAGTCCCACCCCAGTAGAAATAAAAAAAATCGATTGCTAATAATAATAATAATATACCTTATATTTCTCAGACTCGTCTGACTCAGTTTTTATCGCTCGTTGGTACCGATGTTCGTTTTGTGCCGAAAATATATTGAGAGAGATACTACACTGCATAGCGACAAGCTTTGTCGTTGATAAATATCAGGCAGAGCACAGGTATTCACTGTTGTTGTTTTCTGTATTTCATTATTATCTGGAAGAGTTTAATTTAAATTGAAAGTTTTGAATCATTCTCAGAATTTGTTCAAATTATGGAAAGCAATAAACTCGGTAGGAGATCAGAGGTCACTTCGCAGCTGCTCAACCCGATAGCCGAGTCCCTTTCAGTAATCATGGCCAGACTTTTATTTTCCGTGGTATTTTGTCTATAGACCTACATTATAATCCAAAAACATGAAGCTATATTTATAAACATCTCAGCAAAAGTAAGTGAGCACCAATGTTCCACCCCAGTGTCCTTTAGCATCTGCCTAGCAAAGGACAGTTGCAAACTGCGTGATCTTTCCCTGTTGCAGCGTTGGACCTTTCCTCCCGCCCCCCAACGGCTATCCATTATCCCTCCTTCACAAAGTACCCTTGGTGAAATGCCGCGCTGTCCAGTGCGTTTACAACATTTCGACACAATATTCTCAGAAGAACTGGATGTTGTTGAAAGCAAAAAGCAGGGAATGTTTTTGAAACAAGAGCAGATGTTGTGATGACCAGAGGTACGCTCACTTCGCCTTCCAGTGGACAACTAGGGTCAAAATGATATGTATTAGCGGTCAATACTGCAATGTTAATATCTGCTTTAGCCCGGCTCCATCAGCTGACCTATGTAGTCTTGACATCAACCTCTGCTTCCGCTCTTGACCAGATTGCGACGTATAGCAATACACCTGTATTCCTCCTCTATGTTCTCTCCTCTGAGGGCAGAAGAGGGCTCCGACGTCACAGACGCATGTCTTTGCAGTATCCCGTGACATCTCCCTACCCACTCAAATACACAACTGCCCAAACAGCTAGACAGCCGGGATAGCGTAGTCGGCTACGGGCTGGAAGGAGTTGAGTCCCGGTAAAAGGTAAAGTTGTTCCTGTGCTAAGCACTACGCCATAAAGGCGTATGGGGGCGTGGATGTATAGATCCACATTTTCTTGACCTCGGTACTAGATGGAGGTGAGTAGTCAGCTTCGCGTCCCGGCCGTTTTAACCCCAGGGAAAGAGCTCGGTGCCAAATGAATAGGAGGTTGTGTGGACCCCAACCCGGTAGGGTCAAGTATTTTCTCTTCTCTACCTCGCCCAGATCGGCTCAGGGGTAATGAAGCAACACGCCTTAGCTCAAGCGGTTAGTCGCTGGCTTCCCACCGCGGAGGCCCGGGTTCGATCCCGGGTCTGGTCAAGTGGGATTTGTTGTGGACAAAGTGGCGCTGGGGCAGGTTTTCTCTGAGTACTTCGGTTTCCCTTCCAATCTTCATTCCACAAAATTCTCCATCATCATAATCACCCGGGGCAGGTACAATAGGCCAATCAGTGGCCGCCGTGCAGGGTGGACCCAGCTGGACTCCAACCCCTACGATGCGAATTAAAAAGAATACCTCAGGTGAAATAGCCACTGGTACCTTCTGGATAGGAGGCTGGATGGGCCCTAGAGCAGGTCTTGACTTTCAGGAAAAGTGAAAAATCCGTTGTGCCGGGATTCGAACCCCGACCATATAGCCCAGATCCCATCGCTATACCGATTGAGCTATCAGAATACAAAACACTCGATCTGTAATTTTTGTTGTACTTCGTGCTAATATTATTAGTATATATAATTTCTTAACAAAAACTTAATGATAATAATAGGGGCCATTAAGTGACATACAAATGAAGAAACTGCTCCTTTCTTGTGTTTACTTACCTTCACTTGCATACCCTAAACAGTGACCACGCTCTTCCTCTGCGTCGGGCTGAGTGTTACTACTCCAAAACAGGACTTGGCGGCCCCCAACAGCCTTCAAAGTTCACAATTTATTCTCTTATTAAAAACACTGCTTTTGCAGTTAATGCTACATCGTTAAATAACAAACATAATTGTGCAAAATTATTATTGAGAAGCTAGTAGTCGCTCGGCTAGTCAAGAAATTCTTCGCCTTTTATGGAACTGGAAGATTGATAACAGTATTGACAACAATCGGCTACTGGTCCCTACAATGGGACAAAATAATACAGATTACAGTTCTCTGGGATGTGACGCTGTGTGCTTTGGTAAATGTGTAATAAGTTCTAGAGAAAACTAGTACCTCCATCCTCAGTGTCTCCTATCCTGAACATGCACACAGCAGGTTCCTCTGGGTCTGGGAGGCGCCACATACAAGAAGATAGGTCTTAAGTCTTTCCCTTTCTAACCCTATTCACCGGATATGAAGAGCACTTACAAAACTCCGTGGCTTTTAGTCCGCAAGCAAACTATACCGACTGAGCGACCGCCGCTTGTCGGCGAAGTTAGTGGAAACTTTTGCGGATAGGTGACACGTGGTTAGCACAACGGATACCCACGGCTGTTAATCTCGGTTTTCAGCCCCAATAAAATGACGTTCTGAGAGTGAAGTTTACTATTTATTTACCTTCAGACTGTGCTAAGGTCCTTTAACTCCACGCTCCTCTGTATATGACTTCGTGGTTGGTTGTGTAAGAAAAATTCGCCCAAAGGACTTATGAATACTAACCCGCCTATCTGGAATGTCGGAGAAGATGCCGATACACTACGGCGAACACATGCAAGTGAAAGCGCGTAAAGACATTTCGTTAGACCATTGTTCGAGTCTCAGCTCTACGACTCTCCAAAGACTGCGAGATAGGCACAGCAGTAATGACTACACGCTTATCCTCCCTTATATTTCCCCAAGCTTCTATGGTTGCAGACCTGGTGCGGTATTTGATTTATCTAATTATTATTTTAGTTAATATAAATTCACCGCAAGAAATAATACCTCCCACGAAAAAGAAAGCTCTAACTTTCAGCCTCTTTATTATGTGAGTGTATTGAACATCCACTCCCCCATACGCCTTAATGGCGTAGTGCTTAATTCGTTGAGCACAGGGACAACTTTACCATCGAACTTCGGAAAAATAAGTTATGAGCGTTCTTCTGCCTTATAAAGCCTCTGGCCAGTTCCTGTCAGAATTCATCCGGAATTATGAATCTTATAGACAGCTGATTGGACTCCTCCGACACGTGATCAGCCCCTAGCAAGGCCGTTATGTACACATGATAGCATGACCAGGAAAGAAACGCGGACAGACATCCATGCTTCGAGTGGGATTCGAACCCAAGATACCAAGGTTTGAGCGGGCGAAAATATTTCATGCCTTAGACCGAGATTCCACTGTGAAGAGTCAAAATTACCAAAACTTGCTTTAGAGGGCTAAATCAATTACAATGCTTTTATCTATTATAAATTTTTTGAGTCAGGGCATCTTCTTTAACCACGATATGACGAAAATTTGTAGGGTGCATCTTATGGTTACCGCGGTTCTCTGCACGGGGAGTGGGGGGGGGGACGTGAAAAAACGACAAACTGAACTCCAAGCTCTGTCTGCAGAATATTATAGACCTATCAATGCTATATTGGACATTCTTAATTGTCTGGGATATTTTTATACAGAAATTTCGGGGTTGTCGCCATACACATATTTTTATTTTGAGATCATGTGTGACGGTCAGGATAGAACTTCGAAACTATTGAATACTATTTCAGAACAGCTATGATGGTCTAATAATTAGAGCAATAACGAAGTATATAAAAATCTCGAATGTCAGTACTAATTACAAAACAAAAATTATAAATACCTGACAAAGAATCACCTGAAGATGGAAGTACGGTTAACTTCCGTAACACTGAGTACGTCAAACACAGGCCTACACCTCAGACTCAGGATAATGTATAACATTACATTGGTAACACCTAGTGACTAGTTTAACGTACAGGCATATAAATTTTGTTCGAGAATAACGTGCAGTGAATTTGTGTAAAAGTAAGCTATCG